GCTCAAAAAAACGACAAAGAGATTACGGAGTTTGCTGATGACGCGATTATTAGGATTGCCTCGCGCGAATGATGATAATGTCGATTGTGGATATGATTTTTCCTCTGATGGGCGCACGCAAATCATGCAAACGTGTGGATAGCTGTGGTGCTTAGGTCACAGCGAAAACCTAAAGTCTATCTTTGATAATTTCCAATTATTTTAGGAAAGGTCTTTGCGTTATTGATTCAACATTTAGACTTTTGTAGCGTAGATTTGAATATACACATACATGTATAAGTATAGGCATAATCTCAGCAGTTATATGGTAACGGTATAGCGGTTCGCATTGATGACGTACTTCTAGCAGCGCTATAACACAGCTTAATTAAACGGAAGTCAGAGGAGCAACTATGCGCTGGATGTAAAAGTAATTATAACGCAGTGAATTGCCTTCTATGGTAATAGCAGCATCTTAGTTGTCGGACGATCGGATTGCATTACCATAGTTTGCGCGCCATATACGTCAGATTTGATGATATGATTTAATGAAGGCGAGCACTATATAAACAGTCGCAAAATCACATATAATAGAGATATATACGAGGGAGAGATATATAAGAGAATGAGATATATACAAAGCTGTACATTGAAGGAAATACATATTCCAAAACTTGACTGATGTGGGACTGATTCATATTACGACGATGGTGCAAGCTTTAATTGCAAGTTTGCTAATGGTCCCTGGGACACAGACACACCCAGTTTTACGGTCCAACGATACACTTTTCATTATCGTCAGCTGGATGTTGCTTTCTCTGTGCACAAAATTACGTCATGATTCTACCAAAGATATTTGCATTAGTGTCTTCAAGATGACACAAAATCGCGGAATTCTCCGATACATAATGCGTGCTTGGTTTTGCTAAAAACAACTTGACTCAAACAGCGACTGTTTTACATAAACAAGGCCACACGCATGCATATCAATCAGTATATTGAAAAAACTTTTTATCACTTTCGTTTTAAATTTATTTGTCTGGTTTTAGAATTATTGAACTCGCCTTTCTTGTTCTAGTCACCGAGTCTCTGGCAAGTTTTGTATGAGAATTAAGCGATGAAACTGATAACCACAATTTTCCTTTGCGTGTTTTTGTTGTCTTTTATCATCCGTGATGTGCTTTGTGCGAGCATTTCTGACACGGCGTCAGCAATGCCGCCAATGCCGCCAATGCCAAAGGGATTTGGAACGGCGAAACGTGCCATCATCATCGGTAAGTTGCGATCAGTTTTGAGGTGATTTGTTTCGAAGGATGCTCGAGGTTATTATTATTATTATTTTAAAAACTTTTTTTAATGAGGGATTACACTGTTACCTGAAGGTAGTCATCCCAATGGCCCTTAAAAAGTAATGTAAAAGCCTAGTGGTAAATAATTTCATGAAGAGTATAGTAACATTGGCAGCCGGAATGGTGTGCTAGCATACGAAACACCTAAATTTATTTATATGGTCTACTTCATAGTTTAATTGAAGAAAAAAGGTTTTTGAGCTTTTTTTATAAGAGTTAGGAGTGAATAATTCTCAATGATTTTTAACTCGGGAGGTAATCTTAGGTTTCTTAGGCGTTTACTGGCTTATCAAGGACCGGTGATTTTTTGACGTGAGGCAAAACGTTTTTTCGTCAGCTGAACTCTCAGCTGGAACCATCTGGGGTAAACTCACCAAGGACAGAAATAAATCTCGTGAGAGTATAATCTCCTCAAGGGAAAATCAAACCAGTTTATGGCTACAGTCTAATTTGAGCCGTTCTAACTTCATCTTAAGTCAAATTCAAAACGGGTTAAAATGTTTGAACTCAGATGACTGAGTTAGTATTTGAGTCTATAAACAGGTCCATTAAATCACTATTAATCCTATATTTCCCTTGATACCGCAAGAAATAACAGTCTGTGACGTTTTGAAAAAGCCTTTCTTTGTGGAAACAGTTAAACACTGAACATGAATCCGGAGTTTTTATTTGGCAAAAACCTAACGTTTGTCATACCTTTTCTATAGGTATAGATGGCTTGGGAGGTTCGTATTTGAGAAATGCAACCGAACATTACCAAACATTAAGATCATTCTTTGAACAAGGTTCCTACACTACCCGTGCAAGAGGAGTGTTTCCCACAGTAAGCAAACATTCATTTGCCTCATCGTATCAGGTTTCTTCATAGAAAATAGCTACTATAGAAAATAACTGCAGTTAACAGTTTAGAACAGAACTGAAAGAGCTATGCAGTATAAATAAAGTTAGTTTAGGTTTTCTCCCGTGTAGTAACACTGGATCAATATGAGATGATCCTTACTAAATACAATAATCTTTCTTAGGTAAGTGGGCCAAACTGGAGTTCGTTTCTGACCGGCATGAACGTGATGGAACATGGAGTGTTCGACAATGAATGGACTGTGGAAACTAATGGTGATCCGGAGAATGAAACTACTTACAGTATTCCTCCTGTAAGTGGTCGTGGGCGCCCGGAGACCATTTTTACACAAGTGAAAAGAAAAGATCCGAATTTGCAGGTGAGGGTGAGCCGGTGATGCGGTGTGCTGCCTGGAATGAGCTGTAGCCTAGGGATCAACCAAGCCAGAGCTACACAGTTGATTCTCTCTTTCTAGCGGATCTGATTGATTGATCATGTGCATAGACTTGTATAAACTGGGCCAAGTAATCAACTCACTTAATTTTAAATGTTAAATTCACTCAATATTATACACCAAAAGAAGAGAACCGCCGTCAAAAATCACCTATGTACACGGGGCCTAACCCGATGGCTCTACTCAGTTCAAATATGAATTAAATCTTGCAAATTCGAGTCAAATAGGCGAAAGTATCCTCGCGAGGGAAGTAGGTCCGTTGATTAGTCCCCGAATTCCCTTGATACTCCCCGACTCCCCTTGACACCCCGCACGATTACCCTTGACACCCCCCTACCCGACTCCCCTTGCCACTCCATTTTCCACGCAACTCCATCTCTCTCCAGACAGCAATGATGTTCACGTGGCCATGGTTGAAAAATTACGCGATTAACAACACAGATGTAGATGTCTGGAGCTATGGAGGTGATGGTCTGCCGTGTGAAGACAACGATGGTGATAATCTGCCGTGTGAACCCAAAGATGTTGTAAACTACTACAATAACAAAGATATGAATACGGCATTTGCCGTCAAAGAAAATTTGCTGAAGAATGATCCGATTCTAACGTTCGTACATCTTGGTATGTAAACTGTATTGTAAGGGAGCATCCAGGGATGGAGGGAGGAACAGTTCTTTCCCCCTCCTTTGTAATCCTTTCAAAATTCAAAGAGAGGGGTGCGCGTGGTTTCAACCCCCGGCAGAAATGTCGACTGTGTCATTTTCGCCCATCTGGTAATGCGTAGTCCCCTAGTTGATCGTCTGGTGAAAGATATCTGATTTGTTTTTGTAGGTCAGCTTGACTTGGCTGGGCACCATTCCTATTGGGGATCTTCTCGGTACTACAGTTCCCTGGTGTCAGTGGATTTGAAGCTCAAGTATCTGATCAAATGCTTGAGTGAGAACCGCGATTCATCAGGTATCCAAGGACGATGGTTATCCAAGTAAAAACTGCTACTTTCACCACGTTTGAGATACTTTTCTCAAGTGGTTCAGACACAAACTACGACAGCTTATTGTAAAATACTATCTACACTAGACCACCACGTTTGAGATATCTTTCTCAGGTAGTTCAGACACGAACCACGACAACTTATTGTAGAATACTATCTACACTAGACCACCACGTTTGAGATATCTTTCTCAGGTAGTTCAGACACAAACCACGACAACTTATTGTAGAATACTATCTACACTAGACCACCACGTTTGAGATATCTTTCTCAGGTAGTTCAGACACAAACCACGACAGCTTATTGTAGAATACTACCTACACTGGACCACCACGTTTGGGATATCTTTCTCAGGTATTTCAGACATGAAGCATTACACGGTTTCTTTTTAAATTAAGGAAATTTAATGTTGAATGAGACAATGATAGTCATAGTTGCAGACCACGGAGGCTGGAGAAGTAGTCATGGCTTTGGTTTCAAACCGTTCAGTGCGTTGGTTGACATTCCTGTACTTATACGCGGTGAGTGCAATTTTGATAAGACTCCATCAGTTCTAAACTGTTCTTCCTAGAGGTCCAGTAAGGATAATCTCTTATTGATCCAGTGTTACTACAGGAGGAAACCTAAACTAAACTAACTTTATTCTGGATAGCTCTATCAGTTCTAAACTGTTCTTCGTTGAGGTCCAGTAAGGATCATCTCTTATTGATCCAGTGTTACTACAGAAGGAAACCTAAACTAAACTAACTTTATTCTGGATAGCTCTATCAGTTCTAAACTGTTCTTCCTAGAGGTCCAGTAAGGATCATCTCTTATTGATCCAGTATTACTACAGGAAGAAACCTAAACCAGTTGACTGAATAAGAAACTGAAAAGAAAGTATATAAAATTCTACCAAAATCTAATTGTGTGTTCCCACGCAGGTCCTGGTGTGCTTCGAAACAACAGTTTGGAAGACACATACGTATCGAATTTAGATGTGGCTGTGACCGTCCTGAACGCCATTGGGGTAGAGAAAAGCAAGTTTATGAAAGGTCAGGTTTTAGAACAGATATATGCGTAAAAACGTTCAAAGTTGATTTGCCCAGTAATCCTGAGAAAAAAATATATATCAAGTTAAAATACAATTCATAAGGTAAGAAAGAAATCATTGAAGTGTAATTAAAATTGTGTTCATGAAACACTTTATGATTGATGAAAATCTTTACTATAGACATAATGAGATATTCTGTTGAAAATGGCTATGATATACAAGATGATTTCGTTATTGTTGTTGTTTGTGCTCTATACATAAACGCCAGGTCTTTGTTTAGTGTTTGATCTATCATCGACTTCATCGTAAGGTTTCTAGTCTTCCGTTTCCTCAAACGTCTAGTCATTCTTATCAGAAATTTGACTTGATCTCCTTTGACGAGGCATGCTTTCATATTGGTGTTCCTCCGCGGAATCTCTTTCAGCACGTCATAAGTATCCACGTCTGAAAATATAGGGAAAGAAAGTGAAATGTGATGAGAGTTCTGGCCTTGGATCTAACACTGAACAATTAATGATATGACTACCTTAAGATTGAGGACAACGTTAATTAAAGATTGCAGCAAAATTTTATTCCACTTTCAGTCAATTAAATGCAATTATATTAAATGCAGTTTAAATGCAGTAAATATTAGGTATTATTTCTCGGGAAATGCACGAGGGGGAATGATTCGCTGTCAGAAACTGTCAAGGTGTCAAAGAATCGGTGTAGCTTAAAGTCCTCCCCGCTTCGTGAATTCCTTCTCATCTCATGAAAGATCAGGAGACAGTAATACGAAAACTGGATGGGGCGCAGGTAAGGGTCATTTCGTAAGACGTTATAGTATTAAAACCATACTCACAGTGGGTGCAATATTTCTAGCTTTGGTTGAGAAGGCACCGTAGTCGAAAAACGTCTGAATAGCTGGAAGTTGTCCCGAAACATTTCTCAGATACTCTCCGCCGAATCCATCAATTCCTGGAAAAACAATATGCGCAAAGTATGCAAAATGTCTGTCTATGGTCACTAGTTTTGACCTGTGCTTCTGTTTTAAGCCCGGGTTGGCCGTAAAAGCTGATCTTGCTACACCGCTCTGAGATGTCAATGTTTGAACAAGCTTGCAACTGATATGTTGCCCAATCGGACAGAATGAAACATTGTAACTTTTGGCCAAACGATACTATAGTACTGTATACATTGTCCTTATATTCTTTTGTCGGAAAACGATGTCGAAATCATAAAATTATAATCTATATAACAGCAGAATTTAAAAATGACAGCATGTGTCATTTCACCGAACCATTTCATTGCGATGCAACTTTACCTATGATGACAGCGTGCTTTGCTGTACCAAATCCTTTTGGATGTTCATTCTGCTTCTTGAATGAAGGTTCAATACTCGGGCGATAGTGCTTCTGGTCAAAGAAAACTTCTAGAGTCGCAGTTTGAGTCAATTATTCCAAGTAAGTATTTTAGTTTGCATTCATGACAAATCCTACCTTGGTTAAACTTGTCAAACCCTCTGTAGGGCGCTATTTTCCTGGTCACAAGACAGAATGAAAGGTGTATTAAATTTCACAACAAATACCAACAGGAAATGCCTATGCGGGTATAAGACCTATTTTACACGTCACATTGTAGTCACGAATGCAATTGAAACAATAGATAATGAATGATAAACTACATTTAGACTCACTAGAATAAATCTCATCTATTGTTATTTGTTTGAATTGCATTCGACGCGACCAAAATGCAACGTATAAACTAAGTATTAAAGAAAGCTGAACTTTCATAATATAAAAGATTTACGATCTTATTAAAAGGAACTCTCTTTTTTCGGGTATGAGCTAAAACTGCATCAGTGTAATTTCGTTTCGGTGAACTCGTGAACACGACTCTGAATGGGGCAAGGGTTCTGCCCACCACCCTGCACTAGAAAGCGCCTTGAAAGGTGAAAGTGTGAACTTTCCCCACTTCTGAAAAAATAGGAAATACAATGTTTCATACCGCACAAGCGAACGAGTCCCTATTTTTTCTGTAACCACTAATGAGTAATGTGACATCTTTCGTTTCAGAATTGCTCGAGAAATAGTTCCACGCACTCCCCTACGCATTGTTTTCCTGGTGAGGTTAGCCAAGGATGTGGCGAATTAAATCAATTAATCGTTTCAAATACTGGCGAAAGAATGGCATTGCACTGGCATCCATTTACATCCAGTCGCGAACTAGAAGAACTAAAGATGCACATATTCTACATCACTACATGCAGGACTGATTGGTATACAGCATATGCATCCTGGTATACAATATACACACTCGTGCGTGATATAAAAGCCCGCTTCGTGCATAATCATGCTTCATTCAACCTTTTGTCACTCAACAACAGACCCTGAAATAATCCCACAAAGTGGATTACGCTTTGAAATTGTGTTCAAACCAAAGATACTGTCCGTATTTGGATTGCTTGTTAAGCAGTACGTGTGGCTAGTCTAAGAGTCTCCGAGAAAAACTCACATGTAAGTGTTATACATTACACGTATTTTCTCTATTTTGTTTAATTTTGATGTAGTTAGTCTCGTGACAATGAAACGTCAGGCGATAATTATAGGATTGCCTCGCGCGAATGATGATAATCTCGATCTTGAATACGATTTTTCCTCCGATGCGTCGCATGCAAATCATGCAATCGTGTGGATTGCTGTTCTGCTTAGGCCACAGCGAAAACGTAAAGTCTATACCGGAATTTACTGTCTTTGTAAATTTCCGAGCCGATTACTTTAGGAAATTGTCTTTACACTACAATATGCTAGGCTTTACCTGAGGTTATCTTTAGCTGGATTAAAGTTTATATAAGGTATGATTGATATTCAGCGAGTTTTTTTCTCAAAGTAGAGGTCGCCTCACCTGTTCTACAAAAGTTAAGTTCTAAGCATACAAAACAGTGCAAACCCGTCTAAAGTCATCATTACAGACTTATTCACAATTGTTTCAACATTTATACTTTTCATTATCGTCAGCTGGACGTGGCTTTCTCTGTGCACAAAGTTACTATATAGTTGATATATTTGCATTAGTGTCTTCAAGATGACACTAAATCGCGGAATTCTTCGATACATAATGCGTGCTTGTTTTGCTAAAAACAGCTTGACTCAAACAGCGACTGTTTGACATAAACAAGGCCACACGCATGCATATCAATCAGTATATTGAGAAAACTTTTTATTGCTTTCGTTCTAAACTTTGTTTGTTTCGTTTTAAAATTATTGAACTCGCCTTTCTTGTTCTAGTCAACGAGTCTCTGGCAAGTTTTGCATGAGAATTAAGCGATGAAAGTGATAACCACAATTTTCTTGTGCGTGTTTTTGTTGTCTTTTATCATTCGTGATGTGCTTTGTGCGAGCATTCCTGTCACGGCGTCACCAAGACCGCCAATGCCAAAGGGTTTTGGAACGGCGAAACGTGCCATCATCATCGGTAAGTAGCGATCAGTTTTGACGTGATTTGCGTCGAAAGATACTCGAGTGGTTCACTAGCTTATCAAAGATCTGTTATCTACCGCCAATTTTTTGACGTGAGTCGTGAGGCAAACCTTTTTTTCGTCAGCGGAACTCTCAGCTGGAACCATCTGGAACAAACTCACCAAGGACAGAACAGAATAAATGTTGTGAGAGTGATCTCCTTATGAGAAAATCAAACCAGCTTATGACTACAGTCTAATTTGAAGTTTTGAACCTTTCTAGTTCGTCTTAAGTCAAACTCAAACAGGCTTAATTTTGTTTAATAGCAACTTTAGGTTAAAAGGTTTGAACCCAGACGTGTTAGCATTTGGGTCTATAACTGACAGGCCATTAAATGACGATTAATCCTATATTTCCTTTGATAGCCCAAGAAATAACAGTCTCTGACTGAAACGTTTTGTGAAAATGCATGCCTTTCTTTGTAGAAACAGTTAAACACTGAACATGAATGCGGAGTTTTTATTTGGCAAAAAACCTAACGTTTTGTCTTACCTTTTCTATAGGTATAGATGGCTTGGGAGGTTCGTATTTGAGAAATGTAACCGAGCATTACCACACATTTAGATCATTCTTTGAACAAGGTTCCTACACAACCCGTGCAAGAGGAGTGTTTCCCACAGTAAGTAAACATTCATTTGCCTTATCGTATCAGGTTTCTTTACATTGAAAAACATGCTTTAAATTTTAAAAAACTGCAGCGATAATGTTGTATGTCGTGACGCCGTTCAATAAGACACGATCCTTTAGGAAGAACAGTTTAGAATTGATATGGATTAAGTTAAGTCAATTATGATTTTTGGCACTTCACTCGATGCGGGTAAATTCTAGAGGTTCAAAGGGTCTTAATTGACTTAATTTCGAGTGGAATTATACACACTTCAAACTCAAGGTTCGATTCCTGCCTGGTACCGATAGTTGACACATTTTTCATCGACTGTTCCTGGCTTGAATTTGATAAAGATAAAGATATATAGATAAAGTTAGTTTCGCTTAGGTTTCCTTCTGTAGTATAACACTGGATCAATAAGAGAGATGATCCTTACTGAACCTCTAGGAAGAACAGTTTAGAACTGATAGAGCTATCAAGTATAAATAAAGTTAGTTTAGTACAGGTTTCTTCCTGTAGTAACACTAGATCAACATAAGATGCTCCTTCCTAAATACCATATCTTTCTTAGAAAAGTGGGCCAAACTGGAGTTCGTATCTGACCGGCATGAACGTGATGGAACATGGAGTGTTCGATAATGACTGGACTGTGTTAACTAATGGTGATCCGGAGAATGAAACTACTTACAGTATTCCTCCTGTAAGTGGTCGTGGGCGCCCTGAGACCATTTTTACACAAGTGAAAAGAAAAGATCCGAATTTGCAGGTGAGAGTGACACTTTATTTTTTGGACTATATATATATAGGGCAGTGGGTGTAAGGATGAGGCTGGAATGGGCCGTACCCAGGGATGAACCAAAGCCACACATAGTCCCGGGCCCGCAGCTGACTCTCTCTCTTTCTATTGGATCTGATTGAGTGACTAATGAGCAAAGTTGTATAACCTTGGCCAAGTTAAGTAATCAACTCTGTCAGTTCACTCAATATTATACACCAAAAGAAGAAAATCGCCGAATTGAATTTTGCCAATCCCAAGTCAGATTTGGGAAAGAAGTAGGTTCGTTGATCAGTGTCACATGACCTTTCCGCCCCCCCCCCCCCAGGTCACGCCCCTGTTATCGTCCACAACTCCATCTCTTTCCAGACAGCAATGATGTTCACGTGGGCTTGGTTGAAAAATTACGCGATTAACAATACAGACGTGGATGTCTGGAGCTGCGGGAGTGATAATGTCCAGTGTACAGGCGATGTTATAAACTGCTACAACAACAAAGATATGAATACAGCATTTGCCGTCAAAGAAAATTTGCTGAAGAATGATCCGATTCTAACGTTCGTTCATTTTGGTATGTGAACTGTATGGTAAGGGAGCATCCAGTGGGGGGGGGGGGGACAGTCCTTTTATCTCTCCACTGTGATCCCTTTCAAAATTCAGTGACTTGAGTGTTTAAAACTGTAAATGATTTGATTCCATTTTACATAGTTTTTGTTTTTTACTACAAACTAGCGAGGTTCGTCTTTCATTAGTTTCATACGGCGGTACAAGAGAGGGGTGCGCGTTGCTTCAGCCCCCTAGACCCGGCAGAAATGTCGACTGTGTCATTTTCGCCCAACTGGTAATGCGTGGTCCGCTAGTTGATAGTCTGGTGAAAGATATCTGATTGGTACTTGTAGATCAGCTTGACGCGGCTGGGCACTATTCCTATTGGGGATCTCCTGGATACTACAGTTCTCTGGCGTCAGTGGATTTGAAGATCAAGTATCTGATCAACGCCTTGAATGACAACAACGATTCATCAGGTAAGACGATGGTTATCCCAGCAAAAACTGCTACCCTTACAGGACCCAGTGGCGGATCTAGGGGTAGTCAAAATAAATTACTCCAGCTGAAAATCGCAATGGCAATCGCATTGGTAGATTTTTATTTAAAAATCAAACAAACCAGGACCAAAACGTTTGAGATATCTTTTTCAGGTAGTTCAGACACAAACCACGTCAGCTTATTGTAGAATACTACCTACACTAGACCACCACGTTTGAGATATCTTTCTCAGGTGTAGTTCAGACACAAACCACGACAGCTTATTGTAGAATTCTACCTACACTAGACCACCACGTTTGAGATATCTTTCTGAGGTAGTTCAGACATAAACCACGACAGCTTATTGTAGAATTCTACCTACACTAGACCACCACGTTTGAGATATCTTTCTCAGGTAGTTTAGACACAAACCACGACAGCTTATTGTAGAATACTATCTACACTGGACCACCATGTTTGAGATATCTTTCTCAGGTAGTTCAGATATGAAGCATTACACAGTATCTTTTTAAATTAAGGAAAGCAAATGTTGAGTGAGACAATGATAGTCATAGTTGCGGACCACGGAGGCTGGAGAAGTAGTCATGGCTTTGGTTTCAAACCGTTCAGTGCGTTGATTGACATTCCTGTACTTATACGCGGTGAGTGCATTTTATGATAAAAATGCAAGCTTTATCAGTTCTAAACTGTTCTTCTTATAGAGGCCCAGTATAGATCATCTGATTCATCTCTTATTGATCCAGTGTTACTACAGGAGGAAACCTAAACTAAACTAACTTTTATTTATACTGGATGTTTGGATAGCTCTATCAGTTCTAAGCTGTTCTTCCTAGAGGTCCAGTAAGGATCATCTCTTATTGATCCAGTGTCACTACAGGAGGAAACCTAAACTAAACTCATTTATACTGGATAGCTCTATCAGTTTTAGTGTTCTTCCTAAAGTTCCACTAAGGATCATCTCTTATTGATCCAGTGTTACTACAGGGGGAAACCGGCTAAACTAAACTAACTTTATTTATACTGGATAGCTCTATCAGTTCTAAACTGTTCTTCTTAGAGGTCCAGTAGGGTTCGTGTCTTACTGATCCAGTATTACTACAAAAGGAAACAAACTAAACTAACTAAATTAGCTGGAAGAAAGACTGAATAGGAAACTGAAAAGAGAGTATATAATATTCTACCATGATAATCTAATTGTGTGTTCCCACGCAGGTCCTGGTGTGCTTCGAAACAACAGTTTGGAAGACACATACGTATCGAATTTAGATGTGGCTGTGACCGTCCTGAACGCCATTGGTGTGGAGAAAAGCAAGTTTATGAAAGGTCAGGTTTTAGAACAGATTTATGCGTAAAAACGTTCAAAGTTGATTTGCGCAGTAATCCTGAGAAATATAAAATATATATCAAGTTAAAATACAATTCAAAAGGCAAGAAGGAAAGCTTGTAGTGTAATTAAAATTGTGTTCTACAATATCTGGAGAATTAATTTAGGTGTTCACTAAAACTGACTATTTACGTGTTGTTACTTTATGCATAAATGTAGGCTACGAAATATTTTCCTGGTTAAGCCGGGAAAGTTTTTTTAAATATCCACGCAGGTTGAATTGTTGTTCAGCTTCGAATAGCGATAAGTTTCGAGCTTGCCTTTGCACACTGCTCTGGCAAACACTTTATGATTCATGAAAATCTTTACTATAGACATAGTGAGATATTCTGTTGAAAATGGCTATGATATACAAGATGATTTCATTATTGTTGTTGTTTGTGCTCTATACATAAACGCCAGGTCTTTGTTTAGTGTTTGATTTATCATCGACTTCATCGTAAGGTTGAAAGTCTTCCGTTTCTTCAAACGTCCAGTCATTCTTATCAGAAACTTGACCTGATTTCTTTTGACGAGGCATACTTTCATATTGGTGTTCCTCCACGGAATCTACGAAAGGAGAAATGAAATTTGAACCGATATTTTCACCATAAACTAATTTGTGAACTAGGCAAGGCTGAAGCAAGTATATTACCAGGTGATTGTGAGGTTGAATTTGGCGAACCGGACGTGGCTAATACAAGTTTCATTCAAATTCCATAGCTTTTGCGAGAAAGCGAGTCGTACAATACATGAATAATGGTAGTCGCTTAACTCACTTTGCAGATGGAATGGATATGACAGTTAAAAACTTCTACTTACCTACAGCCAACGAGGACACAGTTTCTTTTGCTTCGCCGTTTCCAACAGTTTCATTCTGAACAACCCCAGCAGTTTCATCCATTTTTGCATCACTATTCGTCTTTGCTTCTCCCTCAACTTCGCCATTGGTTGCACCTTTCGCGGACTCAATCCTGTCTCTCGTTTGCTTTTCTCTGTCGACTTTCGTGTACGGATTTTCGTTCGCGCTGCCCTCCACCTGAATTCCACCATTGGCTAAACCGTCGTCTCCCGCCTCGGCTCTGTCTCGTTTCTGTTTCTCCTTGTCGACTTTCGTATACAACCGTTCCTTCTCGTCATCGCTCAACGCTGGTTGAACATGATGCGTGCCGCTTGGTTTAGCAAACTTCGATATGTTAGTCTCCTGTATAATATGATCCCCTTTCTTTACCGTGATCGTATAAGGCTCTATGTCATCCATCACAACGACGTTTGACACTTTTGCCTGTCCTATGGTTTCAACGGGGGGAGGGGTAGGGGCGGCGTCCTGCCTCGTTTGCCGACCCAGGGACATCGTTTTTCGCTCTGCATCACTTCGGGGCGACGAGGATCCAGGAAGACCTTCTGAGAAACTTCGCTGTCTGTCCATAACTGGTTCATCGTAAAGGTCTTCGTAATCCTCCTGGTTTGGTACGGATAATGCGGGGGATTTGATCGATTTTAACTTCGGATCTACACTCTCATATGCGTCCGACTGATTATCGTTGGCGGTTGGGTCCCCCTTTGCCTGGGCATTGAACACCTCACGGTCATCGACTGAGTCGTATAAATTAGTATCGTTCTCAGACGATTTCGTCTCGTCTTTTTTCGGTCCCTTCTTAACTTGGACAATTTCGTAATCGTCTTCGTCCAAATCCGAGGGTCTTTTGGGCAACTCTCTGTTCGTGAAACTGCGGCGGTCGCCACGAGTCAGCGCCGTGGTGTGTGGAAGTGGGGGACTGGGAAGGGCCGTGTTTTGCACCGGAGGACTGGGAAGGGCGGTGTTGGGAAGCGGGGGACTGGGAAGTGGTTGATCGTTGTCTGATTTCTTTTTTGATCTCTTTTTGTCCTTTTTGGACATCTTTGGCTCATCGTAAGCGTTCGAGTCGTCGGTGGTTTTTTTGAGTGAAAACCTTGTTTTGTGTTTGGAGGGTTTCTCTTCAACCCTTTCCGTAGGAGCTGTATGTGATCGCTTCGATCTCATATCTTTCTGACGATCCTTTTCTTTTCTTTTCGTTCTTTCTTTTTTCTTGCTATCGCTTCGTTTATCTTTCTTCGCTTCCTGCACGCTTGCATCCCCAACGTCGTTTCCCTTCTGCTCCAGATTATCCCCATCCTTCCCTCTCAGCTCATCGTTATCAACGTTTATCCCTTTATCTCCCGTCTCGACTTTGACATCGCCAGACTTTATTTTCCCCAACACGGCACCATCAACGCCGGTTTCGCCAGAGCCGGATGAGTTGACCTCTCCGACAGGTGGCGAGGAATGGTTCGAGTTGCTGTCTGTTGCTGGCACTGGGCTTTCCACTTTGATTTCCACCGATTCCACTTTTGTTTCTTGATGGTCGGGATTTTCCCTGCGAATAGTCTAAAATTCACAGAAGTATAACATAAAACCACTGGATCTTCAATCTCACGGAGGTGCTAATCATTGACTCATTTCTGACTGGCGCCTGACAGATCAAATTATTAGATCAAATTAAAGCCATTTGGGATTAGCTTAGCTGTGACTTTAAAAACTTAGTTCAGTCAGGTCGGTTTGTATAGGTTTTTTAAAGAAATACACGTCAAATTTTCCGTTCATGTCTGACTTTGAAACAGTAAGCGACGAAAGTGTGTTGAGTACGCCAGGATGGACATACCTCGACTTTTTCTGAGGATATGATTTCAACATTTGCAGAATTGCTGTCTCGGGCAACGCTTTCCTGGGAGCTTGGAGTAAATTATGGAACATAATATAAATATTTATAAATTGAAGAGGGAGCAAGGAGAATGATCTTGAAGTATGGATGCAGAAGGAAAGGTGGGTTGGAGACATGGGGTGGGACAAAGGGGGATGGATTGATATGGGTGGGATCAATTGTTGTGAAGTAAGGGATATGAGAGGATATGAGAGGGCATGAGAGGATATGAAGGTGGAGGGTGAGATGAGTTAGAGGAAGCGGGAAAGAAGTGAGGTGAAAGGGGTAGTAGAAAACTATTAAAGTTGAGGAGTGAGTTAGGCCTAGGTCAAATGTTGCTCTTCTCATCCAAATGAGCTCCAAACCAAATGCAAATGTGCTCAAACAAAGACATTCATTTGCATTAGGTTCGGTGAATGAAATGAGCGATGTTTGATCAAGGAAAAGGTGGGTGAATGACCTGAGACACTTGTAGGTGTAACGAAAGCAAGGTAAAATGTTTCTGGCATAGTAAGTTACTGGGGTGAAGGAGTGCTTCCTTCCTGTCAGGAGGGAGGGGGGGGGGAGATGCAATGCACTGGCTATTTATATTGCCATATTCAGTGCCAACATCTGTGAAATTAATTATATTTACCCAAAATTCTCAACCGTTAGGACATACTTCTTTTCGGTTTTTCCACATAAAGCAATGCAAACAACCACTACACAGAAAGCGAGAAAACTGAGCACAACGCTGTCTTTTTGATCCAGTAATGTATCCTTCTCATTGGAGTCAGTTTGAAACATCAACAGTTTCCTTTGGGTTGAATGAGCTTCGTCTAAAGATTTAACATTCATTTGGAAAATGAGCAGTACACAGAGTGAGTGAGTGAGTAAAGGTCTCTTTTCTGAGGTTTGAATTGCAACAAGAACGAGCTAAAGCAAGTTGATCTAATTCGGTATCTTGTTACCTCGCCTGTTTCAAATGGTATGTTGTATCATAATTATGCATTCAAAATTATTCTAGACACCTTGAATTGCTGCTCTTGAATGTTTAACAAAACAATGTTTGTTTAACAAGGGCTTGTGATTTTTTAGTGTAAAACTCCATTAGTTTGCAACTATTACAAAATTATTGGAAATCCAAGCCAGGGTTATTACGGTCTAAACCAACTTATTAACACTCACTACAAATGATCGTTCAAATCTACTTTACTTATAGTATATACATGTACTTAGAATCACTTTCGATTCTCTGTAATAAAAGCGTAAGTTATACCTTCCGGCCGTGTATGAATACCGATACACGAATTGCGAAGTTTGCATTTCACGGTAGCTGCGATACAAATTGGCAAAGGTTTTCTTTTGAACCATATCTAAGATTAAATTGGACATTGTGTCGATTGACTTCAGGAATTACACAACAATAATCTCATATTTAGCATTCCGATATCGCTTATAAGAGGAATTGAGTATATTCATTTAGACTATGATATATAATATAAAATATACAATAAACAAACACATACCACGACCGAGCGATCGTCAATATTTTGCTTGTAAAACGCAGCATTTTCCTTCAAAATTAGCTCGCAATTTTTCGGAAACTGCACCAAACGCACGCCTCTGTATAACGTGTTTATAGACAATGAATTCGCATCATTTAACGTTTTTAACACTCTCCTCGTAGGAAAACACATTTGAAGCCTCGTTAACTGTTTTAGGTAGCCAGAGCTCGACCGATGTGCAGTCGCAACGTTTTAGAGTCGCAACACTTCCGTCTTGCTGAAGCTTGTAGGAGAAAATACAAAACGGCAGCGATGTAAAAGCAAGCGCCAAGATATAGAAATTTAATCCACGTAGCCCCATCGATTACCCGTTAGCATGTCCAAGCCATAATATCATGTCAAACTCTGTGTGATTTTAATTGAAGTTGATCGTCCCTTGGCCACAAATTTGAAAGAAAACACAGCGAAACTTGAGACAAACTTTGCATTTGTATCAAACTATTGTGGCCTGTGGGTGTTTTCTTAAGGCTTATTTATACCGGAAAAGGTTACCAAAGCGGAAGTCGAAATCATTAATTATTTTGTACGTGTGCTATTTCATCCACACTTGAAAGGAATTTATCAAACTACTTTCGTGTTTTTCCTTTTTGAAAACCAAACATTTCTTTTGCAAAGTTCTTTTTTGTCTGCGACTCTGCGACAACTTTTCCGAGAATTATGTTTATTTTTCTGGCGTACTTTATGTAAGCAAGGCTAAGCGTACTTAGACAGGCGTGGTTTTGTTTTTGGACAGCCACGTGGGCGTGTTAAAGTCAAACCCTTTCGTTTCTTTCTCATTTACGGGAGATTTGCCAATAGACAGAGTTACCACTTTCTTTCGGTGTCCGCTCATGACAATCAACGTTTAGACGTTGTATGGAGTGCCTTAAAAGGGAACAATGAATTTTCTCAAATTGCAGAATAATTGGGTGAGGTGGAACAAAAATCTCGTATAGACGCATCGATTTGTGTGGCAGTTTTAGATGATTGTTTAATGACATTCGAAATATGCGTAGCAATCGTTAACTTACACCATTATCATCCAGGAAAATCTGCCCAACAATTTGCTATTATCTTAAGCGTAAATTGAGACTTTCGAACCTACATTCCAAAAGGTGACAAGGTGACAGCCATTGAACCTTGAGAACTTCCTTTTATTTTATGAGAACGCCCTTCCTTATTCGGGGTATTTTTGTAACTATATTTAGAAATATAGAGGGGTGTTTTGCTTGGAATTACTGTAACAAGGAATTTAGAAGAATTAATCTCCTGTGTCAAGGGAGAAGAGTAAAAGACCCTTATGTCCTATATTTACCTCAGTGAAACAAAAGTCGTTGCGTGACTGGAAAAGGTTTTGGTATATTTTCATTGCGCATGCGGTAATCGCAAAACCTGAACAAACAAAGTGTTCTGTTTTAGGTAAGTAGATATGAAGTATCCTCACTCGTAGCGTCGCTTTCATTTCGCGCACTGCACGGCAGGCTCGTTTCTTTTTCACATGTGGTTTTTTGTGCTGAAATTTCAAAATGTCTAGTGCTCCAACTGCAGCCGAACTTATAAGCGTTGGCGGCGAAAGAACGACCGGTGCTTCGGTCAGAACACAAAATGGTAAGCATCGAGTCTTGTGCTATCCCGATCTCGGGTTTTTGTTGCTTGTATAACTTTGTTTTTTGTTTTTTTTCTACGTAGTCATGGCTGTGTCGGCTATAGCAAATATTGTCAAAAGTTCTTTGGGCCCGGTGGGGTTGGATAAAATGCTCGTAGATGATGTTGGGGTAAGAATAAACTAAAGAAAGAAGTCGCTTAAATGTGTTTTAGTGTACAAATGTGTACAAATTCAGTTCAGGTTAATATCATGCAGTTATAAGTTATTTCTGTACAAGTACAAGTATTTGATGTCGCATCATTTGGGCAGGGCGGGTTTTCCTTTCGAGTTTTTTGTTTATTCAATGTTTGTCATAACTTTTGCATAAGATGAGAAAATATTGAAATCTCCTATTAAAAACAATTCCCAGTAGTTACATTTCACTTACTACCAGGGACAAGCTGAAAAGTTTCCAGAAAACGTCAGGTCTATATTTTCTGAGGTTTATTCATAAAATTTGCAACAATATTTTTGACTATCTTTGGTTCATACCATGCCTTGGTACAGTATAAATACCATATACATACAGTAGACCTGCTCCACTCTGGAACCGTTCAGGGTTGGTAATTATAAGTTACTGAATAAATAAGCCAAACATTGTTATTGGTGGCACTTTGATACCTTTGTTTTAAACAAAGAAAATAAATGTTATGTTAATAAATTTGGCTTATTTATTCATAAAATCTACCAACTCTGAATCGTTTGAGTTCCTTCCTTCATACATATCCGGAATATCCCATTAGACACCATTGTTGACCATGACTTTGGTTGATTAATGTGATCAATGATATACAACTCCTGTTTTATAAAAAATCTTTAGAGCATCACGGTATTACATTCTTGTTGTTGCTTTTAGGATGTGACCGTAACCAATGATGGTGCTACCATACTAAAGTTACTTGAGGTTGAGCACCCTGCTGCAAAGGTTTTGTGCGAGCTGGCTGACTTACAAGACCAAGAGGTTGGCGACGGTACAACTTCAGTTGTAATATTAGCTGCTGAATTGCTAAAAAATGCCGAAGATCTGGTTAAGGCTAAAATTCATCCTACCTCAATAATCAGTGGATACAGACTTGCATGCAAGTAAGTTTGTTGAAAAAGTTTGTCTCATTTTGTAAAATCATCATGGCCAGAGCTTAGCAATCGCTAAAGGTCCACACAATCTAATTTTGTGGTATCAAATTCTCGTCTGATCTATGAAATGTATTCTGTTATTGATAAAGCTGTAATTGCATTGGCTTTAGTTAATTTGTTCTCTATGGACTTTGCATTGTATGTACATAATGGCTCAATATTGGACATAAGTCAACAGACTATAACATCAGAAGTGAATTGGATCCAATGAATTGAACAGTGAGCTAGAACAGACCTTTAGATAGACATCAAGATGAACATAATTTTTTCAACAGGGAAGCATGTAAGTACATCAATGAACATATGACCATTGGTGTTGATGAGCTTGGAGAAGATTCTATTGTAAGTGCAGCAAAGACCGCTATGTCTTCTAAATTGATTGGGCCAGATGGTGATTTCTTTGGTAAGATGGTCGTTGATGCTGTCATGGCTATAAAAAGGGAGACGAAAGGCGATGTGAAGTATCCAATAAAGTCCATCAATGTACTAAAAGCTCATGGAGCCAGTGCTCGAGAGAGTATGTTGGTCAGCGGTTATGCTTTGAACTGTACCATTGCATCACAAGGTAAATAATTTCTCTGGTTGTTAACCCATTCCCGGTAGCTTACAATCCACCCAGATCTGCCCTACTTCAGTAAACGAATTAATAACAAAACTATCATCTTTTCTCTCATCATCCTTTTTTCTAGCAATGCCTAAGAAAGTAAGCAATGCTAAGATTGCTTGCCTGGATTTTAGTTTACAAAAAGCTAAGATGCAACTTGGTGTGAGTGTTGTGGTTGAGGATCCTGATAAACTTGAAGCAATAAGAAAGAGGTCGAAAAAATTTGTTTTCATTTAATGTTGGGTTTAGCAATAAATGCAAGCCTGAGTTACTCAAGTCAAATTTTGATGCCTTTTAGAGAGTCTGACATAACTAAAGAGAGAATTGAAAAGATCCTTGCAACTGGAGCAAATGTTGTTCTTGTTAGTGGTGGTATTGATGATCTTTGTTTGAAATATTTTGTCGAAGCTGGGGCGATGGCTATAAGACGTTGTAAAAAACAAGATCTTAAAAGAATTGCACGTGCAACAGGAGGTGAGCTGCTCATAGATATCAGTAGTATGACTTGATGGATATACTACATTCTTTCAACAAAGGTTTCATGTCTTCTTGATTTTCTTTTTCATACAAAATTTATGCACAAAGTATGCTTAACTGTATGAAACATGGTAAATTATGTGTGGGTAGTTGGATTAGAGTTATTTTTTCAGACTAAACCAGAAGTAGCCTGTGACCAAAATGTAATGTTATCTTTTCTAGCAACAATGGTGCTGACATTGACAAACTTGGAAGGGGAAGAAAGTTTTGATGCTAGTATGTTAGGACAGGCTGAGGAAGTTACACAGGAGAGAATCTCTGATGATGAACTTGTTCTTATCAAAGGGTAGGTTTGCTGATTTAGATGAGGATGCTGGAGCCTTCCATTTAGTTTTTTTTGTTTACTATGGATTAATTCACTAAAACTTTATAATATTGAACCTTACTCTTATTTTATTCAGTCCAAAAGCAAGGTCTGCAGCATCTATCATTCTTCGTGGAGCAAATGACTTCATGTTGGATGAGATGGAAAGATCGCTCCATGACGCATTGTGTGTGGTGAAACGTGTTTTAGATTCAAAGAAAGTTGTTCCTGGAGGAGGGGCTGTGGAAGCTGCTCTATCAATATACTTAGAAAACTTTGCTACCTCTCTTGTAAGTTGAAATGCAATTGTTTTCTAATAAAATGAGCTGGTGAAAAGTGCTATCCTACTATGTAATGAAATTTTGACCTATGGTATGACTTGCTTCTCAATAACTTACTGATCTTTTTGTGAATTCTAGGGATCAAGAGAGCAGTTAGCTATAGCAGAGTTTGCAAACTCACTGTTAGTCATACCGAAAACATTGGCTGTAAATGCAGCCAAGGATTCTACTGAATTGGTTGCAAAACTTAGAGCATATCATAATACATCACAAACAAACAACGATAAAGTGAACTTTAAATGGTAAGTTTTGTCATCTGTAAAAGGAATTTTGTGTTACCTGTGATGGTCTTCATCAACTAATACTAGAACTTAAACCTTTCTATTTTTTAATAGGATGGGTTTGGACCTAGTTGAAGGCAGCATTCGCGACAGCAAGAATGCTGGTGTACTAGAGCCAGTGGTTTGCAAAGTAAAATCCCTTAAGTTTGCTACGGAGGCAGCCATAACTATACTACGTATTGATGATATGATAAAACTGGATAAAAAACAAGAGGAACCAGCTGGTAGGTCTTATCAGGATGCTGTTCGTGGAGGACATCTTTGAAACAGGTAGAAAACTAGAAGTTATATTAAAGTGTAAATCTTGATATCTCTGCAGTGATTGCATTAACAGAAAACTTAAGACATCTCCTGAAATATTTTTATGTGAGCAATATTTAAAATAAGCATAATAAAACTGGAACCAAAAGTCTGTTAGTTTTTTAAACTTGCATAACATAAGTGCAAAATAATGAAAACCAAGACAAAATATTGAAATCAATGCTTCTCCATAGACTACATTAGTCCATTGAAGGCATACCATATCATTTATACATACATGTTAACATTTTCATACTACCTACACACATAGGTATTGTTATAATTTATCATTTGTTCCAATCTTTGTTTTTCCCAATAGTTTTATTATATTTCCATACACTAGCTTTTATATTTTTATCATTTGTTCACATCTTCGGCATGAGTCCATTTAGGTTTTCGTTTTTCAATGAAGGCTTTAATTCCTTCATTGCCATCTTCCAATTTTAAATTATCAACCATTACTTTGCCAGCTATTCTGTAACAAACAGAAATTAAATCATTAGTAGTCTCATGGTCTTATTACATGCAGGTCCATTTAAACTGTTTGGCATAGGTATGCATTTAGAAAGTGAACATTAAACCACTTTACCTGTACGCCTCGTCTCTTTCTTGTGTGATCTGTTTATAGTAACATTTCTTGCCTATGGCTACCACAGGCTGACTTGTTGTGCAAATCTGCTCTGCTAGTTTCATTGTCTGAAGATAAGAGTATTCAATATTTATACGTTTTAAGAGTATGCAATATTTAAGTTGGCCAAAGTCCTTGCACAAATGCTTTCACATGCAGATTTGTGAATACCTCTGACTCCAAGTCTTCCTCTGGGACCACTTTATTGATCAAACCATAGCGGAATGCATCTATCGATTGCAAGATTTATGTATTCATAATTGATAGAAAATTTGTGCGCAGCATGTCTCTATACATTGGAATTGGAGCCTTGTGAACTCCAAGTAACACTTTACCTTCAGCTGAAATTGGTTTTCCGGTGAACAGCATTTCCATTGTGATTTTATGAGGGACAGCTCTGCCAAGAGCAACAGCTGGCGTTGAACAGAATAGGCCAATGTTTATACTGCATAATGAATAGGAAAAGAGTTGGCAATAGTAGTTCAATATACGTATGCATTTTTTTCTGTTTTGCTTATTCACAATTGGAATTGACTATAGGAGTTTTACATCTCTTTTGTAAGCTAAGAAAACGTTTCCTACCCCGGAGTAGCAAAGTGTGTGTTTGTTGCAGCCACAGCCATATCGCAGCTGGCAACTAGTTGACAACCAGCTGCTGTTGCCAAACCTAGTAAGACACACAATATCATTGAAGGGTAGAAATTGATTAGTAAATTTTATCAATCAAGCAATTAAGGTGGCTCCCTACAGTTTTAAGAATATTGAAATCTTGTTGTTTTGATTTAAAATTTTAGCACGAGATTTCTTCGTAAGTATAAGAAATTTCCCATATATATTAACCAACATTCTAACAGTCAGAAATTGCCCATAAGCATGACGTCATCACCGTTGTTATGGTAACAATGGCGATTCAATATGGCCGACATTTTACCTATTCACGCATTTTACTCGAAAACAAGTTCGGTTACCCCAATTTTTTATTTTATAAAAAGTTTTCTTACAAAAAAATGGGAAATTTGAGCAAGTTTAAAAAAATTCTGTGGAGCCAAAAAAATTCTATAATGAAAAATCACGTTTTTTCATTTTTAATAATTTTGGCTCCATAGAATTTTTTTTAACTGGTTCATATTTTCCATTTTTTTGTAAGAAAAACTTTTTATAAAATAAAAAATTGGGGTAACCGAACTCGTTTTCGAGTAAAATGCATGAATAGGTAAAATGTCGGCCATATTGAATCGCCATTGTTACCATAACAACGGTAATGACGTCATGCTTATGGGTAATTTCTGACTGTTAGAGTGTTGGTTAATATATATGGGAAATTTCTTTTCCTTACCAAGAAATCTCGTGCTAAAATTTTAAATCAAAACCACAGGTTTTCAATATTTCAAAAAATTGTAGGGAGCCACCTTAATACCTTTCACTTGAGCAATAACTGGTATTGGCATATCCTGTATGAAACAAAATAATTTGTCAAGTGATACATCATTTGGCAAACACTACTTGGTTACTTAACCAAGGTGTAACATATTACAGAGTCTGAGCTGATTGTTAAAAATATTGTGAACAGTGGCCAATTTTACTTTTGAAATTATATTACCTGTATTAGTGACATAACTTCGCTGCATTTGTCAAAAATTTCTTTATGGTATGAGCTTCCAGTCTGCCTAGTCTGAATGCAGAGTTGTACTTAGGCAAGTTTCATATGGAAATGCTACATTAATGACTGCAGAGTTTTGAAGTTGTTTAATTTTTTATACCAGTTCCTTCAGATCATGACCAGATGAAAATACTGGACCATTGGCCGATATTATCACAACTTGTGTTTTTCTTTCGACATTTTCCAACAAGTTATTTTCAATGCATGCCAACATTTCAAGTGAAAGTGCATTTCTAGAAACACAGAAATACTCTTGTCTATGTTTTTATTAAACCTGAATGACATTGAATGGTATCGGCAAATTAAAAGCTTTGTGGACCAAGGGATGTAGATGTACCTAGAAACTGGGCAAAGGAGGTAGGGGTGGTTTTAAAGTCACTTTAACTTCTTCCCTCCCCCACTTATGTGGTCATGTCCAGCTGAAGTTATTAGAGGTGATTTGTTTGATAAACTGCAGTGAAGTCACAAATGACACTTGAAATTGTAACAAATTAAATTTGTTACTTTTGTAATGTAACAAGTTATATACCTTTTCTTTGGGTTATTTAAAACAATTTTCCCCACTCTGTTCTCAAAGCTGGCAAGGGTGAGGGTGGACTCTTTAGCGTTCGCAGTAAATGCGCCACTGAAACTTCGGCTTATAACCTGGTGTTTTGAAAAAACAATTTAAAACAATGAAATACGAATTAGTATAACTTGCAGCTAGAAGGCTTGTATGCACTTTTCCGCAGCAAAATTTACAGATATTTACATTGCATTTTCTTGAATGTCTTAAAAAAGTTTGCACACTATAGTTGAGAGTCGCCATTTTATTTTACATAACACACACTAGGTCACTAGCAGGGGGGGACATGTTCATTGTATAAACATGATTGGAATTGTTGGAATTAGTTTCACTTTTTGCGTTTAAATATATGGACATTAGTCATTTTAATGACATTAATTTTTAATTCTTTTCAAATAAAAAAACACCCAATCTTTCTACACAACTTTGTGGCTACTTTTAATTTTGAGAAAGTAAAAAAAATGTTATTTTTGTCGCGATTTAGTTTAGTGGTTAATGGTAAAATATTTAAGCTCCCTGTTTTTGTACCCACCCGCTAGGGAGGGTGAATTAGAAAAATTTGGAAAATGTAAATAGTTTGTTTGTTTTTTTACTTCTTTTTATGCTAAACAAATAAATTTACAGCCAGTCTTTTGGTGGTTAGGAAGTTAGACTACAATTGTGCTTGAGTTTCATTTTATAGTTTATTTTCTACTTTTCCAATATGCATTGAGCAAGCACAGTTTGCTCCCGTTAGAACAATAGTCCAATTATCAAGCAGTTTCTGTATTTCTTGTCAATTTTGAACAGAGAACTTCGCAGTTCGCAAGTCCGCCTCCACGGCCTACGTCATGTCATTCCTGTGTACTTCCTTGTCAATATTAGAAAGTCAAATATTTTTTAGCTGTTGCATGGTATTATTTATGCTGCAGCTTGCGAATACAGAATCTATTTGAAATTTCGAGTACAATTTTTCAATTTGATACAAATTTGCTTCTTGCCAAAGAATTCGGAATATCTACAATGGCTTCTGACTTGTGGACGCTGCAAAACCCTGTCTTTGCGTTTTACTCGTTCTGTGCCTCCGTATTGCTGTTCAAAACATTAATTATGTCTATTTACACGGGACGTACAAGACACAAGTATAAGGTAATACTTTGAATTTGTGTTGCATTTGAACTATTTTATGGGCTGGTATAAATGGTGTAAATCTATGAAAATTTCTAAGAATACTCAACTATGTCAAAAATAAGCCAAATATAATTTATGCCAAACACAAGGACTGCTTTATATTAGGAGAGCTTAAAATCTTAAGCTGAGCAGAGTATTAACGTTTTAGATGATTCCATTTGTGCTTTTATTGTGCAAACCATCAATATTTACAACAGAATTTAAAACTGATTCAATATATTGGAAATGCATCAAAGCGATACGTCGTAAACGTTTTTAAATTGAAACAGCTTGAACCCAATGTTTATATAATTTTGCCATATTTGCGTATTCAAATTCAAAAGGAAGAACAATCGCCTCCACGTTTGAGATAAAAAACTGCCAATGGCTAGCAGACTTTGATTTTTGAACCACTTATGTATAGAGCTTTTCCTGGCCAGAGGATAATGTGATGCATGGAATAAAAGAAGAGGTGAAGCCACCTCACCCTGCTGTGGAACGAATTCGCAGGTCTGTTGTATAAACATAACAAGTGCTTAACTGGTGGGCGGGAAAAGAGACCTCCAACATTTACTTCAATGGCATTCACAATTAAACTATTAGAGCATGCACAGGTGTAGGAATGCACGGGGCTAAACTTGAGCGATGGTGTTACCATAGACAATCCAGAAGAGTGAGAAGACAATGTCTTCTGGATTGTCTATGGTATTACCAAGAGATGACTTACAATGGCATAAGGTGCTCATATCTACACTTCCAAATATATCTACACTTCCAAAACTGCTAAATATTAGGTAGAAACGTTTCATATAATCAATTCTCACACAACTGTTAAACCCCAGTAGAAGCAAAATAGGCAATCAATACTGCTTTCTGTATTTATATTGTGTTTTCTAGTTGTCACCGAAATGATCTTGAAAACATTGTGCCATTCTGCATAATTGGTCTTCTTTACACCTTGACAAATCCCTCTCTGCTGACAGCGAGGTTACTTTTTGGTGCATATACAGTGGCTCGTTTATTTCACACAGTTGTCTTTGTGAAGCTACATCTGCAGCCTTATCGTTTCTTTTCCTTTTTGTTTTCCTATTTCATTACTTTTGTTCTGCTCATTTCCTTTTTTATACATGTACTGAGTTATATCTAGTGTAGCTCTACTGCTACCAAATTACTGTTGAGTTCTTGAGCATGAATATACCAAATGTTCTTCGCTAAATGAAAGTAATTTTTGATACTTAAGATCATGATAATTAACCTACTGGGTTTTCTATTAGGGGGCTAATTTAATTAGATCAATAAAATCATTCATAATTTTTTCCAAAATCCAGAGAAATTAGGCGATGAAATGAAGACATATCTTAGACAATAATATATTAATTTGATATTAATATTAATAGTGTGAGTACTAATATCTAGAGATTTTTGAAATAGATTTATTTTTAGTAATCTAAATATCTAACAATTGAAATACCAATGTGTTCTATTTTTGTACCCACTATGGGAGGGTAATTTGGGTAAAGTCAATAAAAATTTAAGTCAATACAGCCAATAAATATTTAAATTCACCTCTGAAAATAGACATTTTATTTTAAACTCCCCCTCACTTATCAACACTGAACAGCTGTAAACTTTTACAGCCAATCTTTGACGTTAGACTCAATAGACTGACTGACTAAGTCATTGCGTGATGCATGCTGTAGGCATCCCCCCCCCCCACACCCTCAGGGTAAATTTTGAAGTACATGCTCTTTAGAAATTTGGTCTTGGATTCTGACACTATAATTTGTAACTTTTGGTTGTAAATTCTGTACTCTGTGGTATATAAATTGTTTTCTATTTACGATGGCGCAAGATTTGTGGTCGCTGCAAAACCCTGTTTTTGCTTTCTACGTCCTCTGCTCTTCCGTGTTGCTGTTCAAAACATTGTTCATGGCCATTTTGACAGGATATGTGAGAATAACGTACAAGGTAATGCAGTACAAATTATTTTACCACGAGCATTTCAAATATTTTACAAGACTGAAGAGTCTGGTTATAGATTTATTTGCCAGGTTTCAATATAAAAGGGTGGAAGGCATGCAACTATAACATGTGTTTAAAGAAAGGAACAAGCACACTTGCTTTCAGCCTGTAAATAAATCTGATTATTGTTAGAGAAAAACTTTATAATAATTCATGAATTAGCTACAAATCAGGGAAGAAGTCTGCACTATAAAAGCTTAAGCGTTGAAGTCGAGGTATATTTATGCAAAATGGAGTCTGGGTTAATTGGTCCCAAAGCTTAGCTGTAATAAAAATATGTTGTGAATTTACACACCAGCCTAACTATTAAAATGCAAAATAACCAGAATATTGTTATTTGTATGTAGAGCTATTCATGGGCAGAAGACAATGTTTCTGCAGGAGTTAAAGAGGTGAAACCAGAACACCCTGTTGTGGAACGAGTGCGTGGGTTAGTGAAATATCAGATTAATACTGGTTCAATGGGTTGGGGGGGGGGCGTAATTGATTAGAGACAGGGTTGACTAAAGATTGGGCATAACCGCATAAGAACTTACGCTTTAGATATTGCAATATAGGTATTCCATGAGACAGTTTAGGTATCATATATATTATATAGATATTGCTGCTATCAGTGTTATGCACTTAAGTCATATAATTCATGCATGTTTATCAGTTTATTTTCTAATTTATTTGCTAATCTCTTTAACATGGTGACAACAATTTACAATATAAGTTCATTTGATAAGTTCAGTACAACATTTAATGGGCTCCCATGGTTATTTATAGCATATTATTGTTATAGCTCATAAGCAGGTTTTGCAGATAGGCCAAACAACATTACACTAGTTCTTTGTTTTCTTTGTCTTGACCTTTTCTTTATTTTCTTGATAGCACTAATGACAATTTAGTTGTCCTGAAATATTTGCATATCTAGGGTTAGGGTTCTCTGCACATAAATCAACTCTGCTCATAAATCATATTGTGTTTTCTAGATGCCATCGGAATGACATTGAAAACAATGTGCCATTTGGTATAATCGGTCTGCTTTACACCATGACAAATCCATCTGTGTGGATAGCCAGGTTACTGCTTAGTGGGTTTACAGTGCTACGTTTACTTCATACAATCATCTTTTTGAAGCAACTCGGACAACCTTATCGATTCCTTTCCTTTCTGTTTGCTCTTATCATTAATTTTATAATGCTTATCTCTGTTTTTATACATGCACTGCCACTGATAATCTAGTTTTGAAATATTTTGCTTTCTGAAATCGCTGTTGCATGTTTAAACATGATTATATACACAAATATTGTGGGCTAATTTAGTTCAGAATTAGTTCCTATTTCAAATATAATAAAGGATGCAGAAGAGTGCTTGTGTATTTTCTTTATTTAACACAGATCAACATCGTCCACATAATTTGGACAAACTCAGTTTTAGGGTTTTGTTAGCTATGAAGGTTAGATGAATCAACCATAATGTGCATGCCAACGTAAAAATTCTTGGCTTTCATCACTTTAATTGTATTGCACTTTGCAGTTTCTTAAAAGCAGCCAGCAAAATTAACACAAATACACAGTATGGTTTCAATTTATTTATTTTGTTTTGAACAGCATTTTTACAATCTATTTGCTCTTCTTTGCTCTTATCTTTTTGACGTAGAACTCAAGTTCTTTGCCTTCCAAAATATAACCATCACATCGACCACTCTGACCAGGTCTTGAAGAGATGCATGCTACAAATAGTTAAAAATACACCAATGTTAGGACCTTGCCAAACCTACAAAAAATGTACTGCAAAAGTGCTTATTACCATAAAGCCGTCCAGTCACAAACTGTTCATCGAGACCAGGCGTAACTTTAGCAGTGGCTTTCCGTCCTTCCATCTTCTTCTCCTGATGTTTCGACCTCTTTTTTTGCAATTCCTCTTCTTCAGTTTCCGTCTAATAAAAAAATGTTTATCACCATTTCAAATACACCAGTAAACATCATTGCTCTCAGTACCAAAAGTGCAAATAGAAATTCCTACCAATTTTGTTCCCTTCTTCCTTCCAAGAGGGGTTGCATAATGTGACTCATACCTGGAAAATAGTTAAGAACTGGTCAGGGTTTATAACTAAGGAACAGGCTCCATTGATAACAATCCTTAATATCTTACCATTGTCTAAAGGGATTACTATCAACTTGAACAATGCAGTTCTTCACAAGAGTTTTCGTTCTCACAAGTTCATTGTTGCTAGCATTATATACAACGTCCATGACACGGGTTTTTCTGGTAATGCCTAAGAATTTAATTAAAGCTTGCAAGTTTAAACTGGTTATCAGAATTAATTCAGGGAAAAGGGGTCATTCCCCAATTGTATCCAAAGGTACCAAGTTTCATGATGGCAATCAGAGTAACTATGACTTTAAAAAATCATATTTGAAGCTTGAAGACTATGACAGTCTCAAATTTCCTCATACATATAAAACAAGGTCATCATTTTGCCAAAATTTGAAACTTTCGAAGTGTATTGGTCAGAATATCATGGTGCATTTCATCTTCACTCACTTTCAGATCCCCAGGAAAAGTTGCCATGGTCGAGACGTAAAGCTCTGAACTTTCTATTTCCACCCCTAGTTCTTACTGTGTGGATTCGTTTTTGACCAAGCTAAAACACCAACACAAACATAAGTTAGGACGTTAAGCTCCATGGTGGTTTGAAATGGGTGTCACAAGGGTTGTCATACCTTGGTGTTGGCAGGTGGTCGACCAAGTTCGTATTTTCGTTTCTTTCTAATGGCTTTCTTCTTGCCTCCGGTTGCACGTCGCTTGTGCCAGTTATCACGGGAGATACCTGTACATCACCACAATCATATTAACAATTAGAGAAACCTAGTTAAACCAGGTACCAGAGAATTTCGGAGAGTTTGCAGATGTTTGACATTGTAAAGATGTCATGTAACTCATGTTTATAAAATCATGGGTTATCTATTTGCAGTCTCTTGTTGAGAGAGACGGAAAATCAGAGAACAGGGAGTTATTTGCTGCTTATTTGATGTGAAATTTTTGTGAATATACTGTATTTTAAATGCAATTTTCGAGATGAACTTGTCTCATTCTGTTTAGAAATTAATGCAGGAATATGGTTCCACATAGTTAAATATTAAACTGCATCAAGAAACAAATGCATTCTCCTGATATTTGAGGGGAATAACCTAATTCAACAATCAGAAATATGCAAAGGATTTATCGCGACGAGGATCACAAATTGTAAGACCACAACAAATTGTTCAACTTCGTAATTTTGTTTTCCCGAAAAATTCCCTAAAAAAGCACACTGCTCCTAATTATTCATTATTTAAATACGGCTCTGTTTATCAGAGAATGCGATTTATATTTCGTTTCCCTTGGGATTCAAACGGATTGTTTTTGACCATCAATAACAAAAAACTTACCCATGTTGATCACTGGTTCGAAAAGAAAGAATTTTTGACCGGGATTTGGCTTTTGGCTTCGGAAAGCTGGGCCGAGAAAGCGTCAGGTTATTGAGCCTGCATTTCTTTGTCAAGCGGTAAATCCACTGTACTATAAATAAAACTGTATGGCTAACTCAGGGGAAATGAAGTTATAAATATTATCCAAAGAAATACTAGACGCTAAACACCATTTATCTTTGTATCAAACTGAAGCTAATTAAAAATCTTACCTTGTGTAGAAATTCTAAGACGGTAAATACAAAAATAACTTCCCACTTTTATTTTTGTATTTTTTTTTGGTACCACCCTGAATTTTGGCGTGAATCGTTTTAGTTCACTGAGCCATACTATAATTCCACAATTACTGTAATAAGTAGGAATTATAGTATAGCTCAGTGTTCCAGTCACATTTATTTGGATCAGAATACTTTCGAATTTCCCCCCATTGCAAAATAACAGGAGATCACCCCCCGTCTTTTCTGACAAGCAACCGCAGACTCTTCGTCACACGTCCCGCGGGCTTGGAGAGGTACGCTGTTTCTTGTAAATTCTGGTCTCTGGATGATGCAGCCAATTTGGCAGACAATTTTTTCATTTTGAAGTTTCTTTTTGAAACAATTGCAAAGTATGATAGTTTTGAAATAACCGGGGCGAACTCGCGAAGCATCGAACAAGAGTTTACAACGAAACGATGGGTTCAAACGCGACGGACAAAGAGAAACTTCTGCGCGAGACCGAAGCAATGCTTCGTGCTGTCCTTATCAGCAGCCCTCGCGGAGTACGTTTCGAGAAACTGCAACGGGATTTCTTTGAACTGACGGGCAAACAAATACCATTCAAAGAGCTGGGTTATCCAAGGCTCGAGAACCTTCTGCAAAGTATGCCCTCAGTAGCAAGGATAGAAAAGGAACCAGGTGGTGACTTCGTTGTGAAGGGGGTGGCCTCAAGTGCTGACCAACACGTTGCGAAGTTGATCAGCAAACAGAAGAAGCCTTCTCTCAAGAAAGGTGCGAAATCGTTCATGGCCAAACGAAGGCAAATTCTGTTTCAAAAGAATGCAATCACCCCGGTGAGGAAACCCATTGGGCGACCACGGCCGCCAACCCATAAAAGTTCAAATTTTATGGCCCCAAAGTTTGTACCACCAAGAATGCAGCGACTACAACAGGAGAACAACAAGAACAGGGCTGTTGCACTGCCACTGAGACAAAATACGAAGGCTAAAGGTATGTGCATTAGTAATACGTCTGGGAAATGGGTGTTTCCAGGGTTGTTTCCTGAACAGGGTGGCAGTTTTAGAGAAAAACAGTTTAAAACTGAAAGGGTTATCCAGAATAAATAAAGTTAGTTTAGTTTTGGTTTCCTCCTGTAGTAACACTGGAACAATAAGAGATGATTCTTATTGGACCTCTAGGAAGAACAGTTTAAAATTGATAGAGTTTATCAGTATAAATAAAGTTAGTTTAGGTTTAGATTGCATGGTTGGTAGTTGTGTCCATTTATTCTGTAGACTATACCGTTGGCAAAAAGGTATCAGTATGCAGAGACGAAATTTTTAAGAAGGCAATCAATGGGGTGAAAAATCAACTGCAGCTCTGCTTAAGTTCCTCATCACAAGGTTCTATTTGCGGCACAATGTGCTTCTTTAAAATCAGCTAGGGGTATTTTCATTGCAATGTTGTGTGTGCTTTAATTTGGCTCATAAAGTATCAAGTTTCATCAATATACTCTGCTTCTTTGCACAGCGAAGGCCTTGCACATTGCTTTTCAACTTTCCGACAATTGGACGAAATACAGTGAACTGCAGTGCGACAATCGTAATTGATTATAGATAACTGTGTTTTAATTTGGCGCTTAAAACATCATAGATCCCTCATTACAATAATACAATTATTATACAATTATACAATTATATACAATTATACAATACAATTATACCCTTACCTGAAAAGAACCTAGTGTTCTCTAACAATTGAACTTTTTAGATCCCATGAATTTGTCGGTCAAAGTGTCAAACAATGAGAGAAGTGTCACAACTGTCGCCTCTCATGATCAAGAGCAGCCTGTGGCATCTGGTATCCTGGAGAATGCAGCGTCAGTCAAATGGATCAAAGCGGTAAGTAATACATCTGAAATGAAACAGGGTATTCCATTCAAAGACAAAACAAGCGATGAATGTTATTTATTTGTTTCCACAAAACATGTAGCCTAGTTTTCTTTTTATCTTATTTCCCACATCTTATTTTGCTGTTTTCTCTTGCAGGAAATTGAAAAAGCTAACAGTGGACTGTGGGCAACACGTCTGGAACACCTCTTCAAAGAGAAGTTTAAAAGAGCGTGTCCGAAGCAACTTATGCAAGAGCTAAAATTTCGACCAGATATCACACGAGTGGAAGAGCCTATTGCTGGGAGATTTTTACTCTATGCTCCAAGACAACAACAGGTATATATTGTATATTCTGTTTTTCCATCGCGCCCTTCCAAAAATTCCCTGCACGCTTGCTCAGCTTAGCCACTGATCTATGTAAAAGCTTGTAGTGTTCTTATATTTATACAAGGCTGCTACCATACCTACTTTACTGTCATGTCTCTTTGATGCATTGGAGTTTGTTATTGTTCTATGGGGATGATTTCTCTTGAGGGAGGGTCATACTGTCACCAGTACAAGAGGTGATGAGAATAAGAATTTCTGATCATGAAGTTTTTTTTATGCCAAGGGGGGTGTTGGGTTATTTCTCGGGGGAGGTATGTATCCCTTTGCATTTTGCTAGCTAGAAGATCTGGTTTGTGCAGGTATTGACAGGCTGTTAAATTGAAGTGATTTCACCTGCTACCAGGTAAGAGGAACCACAATCATTTGATTTTTTTTTTCAATTTGTAGCCTCCTGTAGCTTCCGGATCACATGCTGGAAATCAGATCCAAGTGAACAAAGCCGACTTCGTAATACCATGCTATTTACCTGATGTTGGGTATGCGAGTTTCGTTCCAACATTTCATTTGATGCAGATTCAAATTGCAATTTCAATAAACTATTGTTGGTCTTGTTCATACTTTATCTAAAGAGTCTGTTTAAAACTTTCATTTCTTGAGAGATCATTTCATTTCTTGGAATTTAATTCAAACCTGCACAGTATAAATGACATGTTTTTATTTGGTATTAATTTTTATATTTCATTTTGTAGTGCGTCAGTTCTTGTGTACATATCCCATATGGAGAACCTCAGCTGTTTCTATGTCAGTCTTTCAGATTCAATTTCTGAAATGTTGAGCGAAGAGATACGCAAGCATTACAAGGTCAGTGTCAAGTTCAGACACCACTGAAATATCTCAACCTTGCGCTTTCCTCATCTTCTCTGCAATGTCTACCACCTCACATCTTCTGATCTCTACATTTCATAATGCGTATATCTCTGACCATCTCTCCTTCATCTTTATCATATCATCTAAACCTTTTTTCCTTTATCTTCTCTGCCATGTCTACCACCTCACATCTCCTGATCTCTACATTTCATAATGCGTATATCTCTGACCATCTCTCCTTCGTCTTTATCATATCATCTAAACCTTTCTTCCTTTATCTTCTCTGCCATGTCTACCACCTCACATCTTCTGATCTCTACATTTCATAATGCGTATATCTCTGACCATCTCTCCTTCGTCTTTATCATATCATCTAAACCTTTCTTCCTTTATCTTCTCTGCCATGTCTACCACCTCACATCTTCTGATCTCTACATTTCATAATGCGTATATCTCTGACCATCTCTCCTTCATCTTTATCATATCATCTAAACCTTCTTCCTTTATCTTCTCTGCCATGTCTACCACCTCACATCTTCTGATTTCTACATTTCATAATGCGTATATCTCTGACCATCTCTCCTTCATCTCTTCTTGTTACATGTCCATATCATTTCAACATTTCTTCCCTCATCTTCTCTGCAATGGCTACCACCTTGCATCTTCTTTAGATTTCTCCATACCGTAATATCTCTGACCAGCTCTCCTTCATCTCTTCTTATTACGTGTCCATATCATCTCAACCTTGCTTCCCTCATCTTCTCTGCAATGCCTACCCCTCCATCATTAAGCAAAAAGTCGTCTCACCCAAAAATCCTCTTTATTCCTCAGACAAGTCAATACAACTCCGATGCCATTCCGTCAATCTCCCAAGGACAGATATTCTGCGCCCAATTCACGGAAGATAAAAATTACTACCGCGCACGCGTCCTGGAAGTGGTTGACAGTGCGCATGTCAAAGTACTCTATCTTGACTTCGGTAATAAAGAGATTATCTCAGTGGAGAAACTGCGGGTCCTTATCAGCGATTTTCAAACACAACCAATTCAAGCATTTGAGTGTTGTTTAGAAGGTGTGCAGCCTTTAGACCAGGTACAGTAAGTTCGGCCTAAAATACTTTATTGATAAACTAAAATAGTTTTTCTGTGTTTTGAGATGAATTGCTTGATCCCAAACCTCCGTCTCTAAGTGAAAATAAAAGGGAATTCCAAGACTTTAGAAAAAAGATTAATATTTTTAAACGCAAAACAACTGCATGCCATCTGATAAAGATCCAGAACATTGTTGGCAAATACTTCTTGTTGAAAATTTTTCCAAAACAAATTTTAGTATTTCACTATAGGTAAAGTTTTGTTATTCCTCAACGAACAATTTCACAATGAATTTTTTTTAGTGTCAGGAATGGAGCGAGGCAGCCATTGTTAAGTTTGATGAACTGACGAGCGAAAAGGAACTGCGGATGACCGTGCACGAGATCGACGGTAAAATATTGTTCGGAAACCCTGTTGTTCAGTGGAGATTTACATCATATTTACATCGATGTCGTAAATTTGTTTTAGTCTTAGTGATTGTGCAGTACAAGTACAATCGAAGGAGTGTTTCCTTTTTGTCGCGCGGTTAAAGTGACTCGGATTTCAAGACCTACTATGAGGGAAATTTCCGTTCTGAGAGTTTGATTTCAGCCTCTTGATTTACACAGAAGATATCAATGCTTTCTCTTGAACTTTGTGACGTAACGTTCATGTTCCCTACGTAATTCCGGGAATTTGCCCTGATTTCTTGGAATAGTAGAGACGCGGTATATTTCCGATGCTAATTGTGATGAATATTTCATGAATGTTATTGACGCGTGTTTTCCTTCCTACTTCCTTGTTAGACGCTATCCTGACAGTATCTCTTGTGGACGTGTCATCGGAGATGGACATTGCTGAAATGATGAAGAAAGCTGGTTTAGCCGTTGGGACTAAAAACCTGGAGACAACTTCATCATCGTCATCTTCCTCCCTGTCCTCCTCTTCAGGGTAAGCAAAGCTATGTGTAGATCAGTGAATTGTAATTAAACCTGAAACGCTATTTAACTTGGCCGCTATCTTTGATGCCAAATTTAAATGTAGTTTTTCTGAGTTTTTGAACGTTTGAGAAAGACGTAGAGAGTAATTATCTAGGAATGTCTAGAACTATGTAAAATGCAATCATTTGCTAATTTTTGTAAAAATTGAACGAGAAACAGAGTCAGAAACACTTCAATATTTGGCTTCAACCAAGCATCGCGCTGATCTGGCTCGCTAGTTAATCTGGTTCGAATTCCTACCGTACTCTGTAGTAACACTGCATGATTAAGAATGTAAGCTGTATCTATATAGCATTTAAACATTTTTAGACCAACGTTGGAGAGGTCTCCTTCAAAAACAGAAAGCGTTGCATCGCGGTCTCGTCGCTTGAAATCCAAATCCCCAGGTATGCCAAACAGAATTCCTCAGGTTTCTGGCTGGAACGAAGATGGGCAGAAATTTGCCCAAGAGTTTTTTTTTAAACAACAACGCTGCAACTTCGGTCAGAAGGGAACAAGAGTTGCGAGATGTCTGATTCATTTAAAGACATCGCGTTCAAAGTCATTAAAAGCCAAGGTTAATTCGAGTGCTATTCTTGTCTTTCTCTAGGTATTGTTGAGTTGCCGGACGAGCTGTTTCTTGATGTTCTGGTTTGCAATATCACGGGAACTTATGACGTGTATTTACGTCTAGTCGGCGAGGAATACTCGGTGAGCTTTTGAGAACTCAAAGTACATTACATAAATATGTCGAGAATTTGCCTCCAAGTGTGATCCTCAACAAGTCACATAGTTTTCATAGTATATTTATATTTTAACCTAGTAAAGAATTCCAAATGTCTATTACAACTTTCCAAACGAATCTCACCACTCACACCGTCAGATAGCACATGCTCGGGCTATAAATTACTCTCTCTCGCTCGCTCGCTCACTATAGTTCCTCACTCACTGAATGTCTCAGTCCAACTAACTCCTTGCTCTCCACACCACATACACCTTCATCCTATCAATCACTGTTACATAACTAGAATATAATTAAGCAAAGGAAACATTTGTCTCTATAATAATCTTATCTGTCATTTCCCGACAAATATTCTATCCTGAACTCTGAGTTTAATCCGTACCCGAGCTGGACCATTGTTTCCATTTCCAAGCATGATCTTAATCCCATTACAACCTAACTCTGATCTGAATCTATCTGCTAACTTTAAACCACCGGACTTGTTTTCGTAGAATAAATTAGAAGCTATTCAAGAAAGTATGACGTGCTATTACAGTGATTCAAAAGGTAGGGACTAAATGATGTCTTCGCTGGATTCTGGAAAATACTTGTTGAATGCATGAGAATAACCCTTCGGAAAATTAAAAATAACGTCCGTATATTTGAATTTATTAGACGAAGTTATCACAGACCCTGCTAACGGTGATTTGTTTGCGCTGATTTCGGACGAAGTCTGGTGTCGAGTTAAGGTGACGAGTGTAAATGGCGGGGAAATTAAAGTGTTCTTCGTTGATCACGGGGACAGCACGGTGGCTAGTAAAGATCAGTTGAGACCTTTGGCCCCTCAATTCAGGCAACTGCCCTTTCAGGTATTTATGTACAAGATTGTTTAACCAATCAGCGCTCAGAGGTCAGAGAGGTTATCAAACTGGAAATTCTGGGGCGGTTGTATCAAGCCCGTTTAGCTTAAACGGTGGATAAGTCGAAATTAAATAACACTCTTACATCCCTCTTGAATGAGTGAACTTGAATATTATGCACTGAATATGTAGTTGTAAACAGTATCTTTGTATTAAGGTTAAAAACATTTATAGTTTGCTTGTTGAGTAAAACGATAGACTTGCTTTCTATTTTGAACTTATCCACTGTTTAGGCTAAACGGGCTTGATATACAACCGGCCCCATGCAGTACTACAATTTAATCGATTATAGCTTTTGTTATTCTTTATAAAACTGCCACTTTTAAATCAATTCAGGTTTTCCAATGCGCTCTAAATGGCTTACCAAAGACCAAAAATCCGGAAGTCGTTGAAACGTTGAAAAAGTTGATTATGGGCGAAGTTGCTGTGGCCGAGATTATAAAAAGGCAAGATTCTTAGTAAAATGTTTGAGTATTATGATAAAATTAAACCTCCAAGGATTAGTGAGAAACGTTTAGGTTAAGCTCAGTAGGTAAGATGCTGCCGTCTTGTGAAGTTCAAGGATAGATGCTCGGGTTAATTTTTTGTGTTCATTTTTGGCGTTTTCTTTCAACGATGTTTAGGATGGGGGATTTGATATTTATCGAGCTGTTGGACACAAGAACCGATGCTAATATTGTGGTGAACAATGTCGTGAGAAAGTTGGTTATACCCGACGAAGAGTTGAAACCTGTTTTACCAAAGGTTGGCCAGAGTACGGACGCCGATCTGGCGTACATTTCGACGGCGGGAAATGTATTTCTTCATGTTTCTGCTGTTGGGAGTAAACGATTGGAAGAACTGAACAGAGACCTTACTGAACATTACAAGTCCAAGGTAATTTAACTGCATTTATACTGCTCCAGTAAGAATCATCTCATATTGATCCAGTGTTACTACAGGAGGAAACCTGAAATAAACAAACTTTATTTATACTGGATAGCTTTATCAGTTTTAAACGGTTCTTCCTAGAGGTCCAGTAAGGATCATCTCATATTGATCCAGTGTTACTACAGGAGGAAACCTGAAATAAACAAACTTTATTTATACTGGATAGATTTATCAGTTTTAAATGGTTCTTCCTAGAGGTCCAGTAAGGATCATCTCTTATTGATCCAGTGTTACTACAGGAGGAAACCTACACTAAACTAACTTTATTTATACTGGATAACTCTATCAGTTCTAAACTGTTCTTTGCTTATCCCAATATTTTTCACCTTTCATACAGCAATCGAAAGCAAGTGAATTCATTTCAAAGCCCGAAGCTGGCAAAATATGTTGTGCGAAAAGTGGTGACGGACACTGGTATCGTGCGAAAATTGTTTCTTTCACTGATAGGGATGTGAGTATCTTTGTTTAGTTTGAATTATTTTCCTCCACCCAATTTGAAACTTTTCACGTCACCATATGTTCTGAATGCTCTGCTAATCCACTGGTGAACAATTAATTTAACTCCAGGCTATGGAAGTGGTCTTCCTGGATTATGGTAATACAGAAGTTATACCCACCACGGATTTACGAAAACCGACCCAGGAAAACTCTCATGTCTTGTCACTGCCGTTCCAGGTGGGTTGCTTATGAATGTTTCCGAAACGTTTAAGACTCGCTGGAAATTCTGGTTATACTAATTTGATTATCTTCAACATATTTTTAGGCGCTGGAATGCCAACTTTATGACGTACCGAAGGTAATTGTGAGGTTTAAAAGAAGTTAAAAAATTAAACATTCTTATATCAAATATATCAATAAAATTTCATATTGTTTTTAGTTATACCTTATTGTAGTAGTTACATAGGTTGAAAAGCTCTTTTACATCAAGGCATTAGGAAGTTTTTCTGGAAGTTTAATGTGCGGAATCTTCACATCGAGTTTAAGTTCATAGGTTTTAACGAAGAATTATATTAATAACGTGCTCTTTAGGATGGCTGGAGCGACGATGTTATCAATCGAATCTTCGAAATTGTCGAACAAGGCAGCCTGCAAGCAGAGGTAAGGCGAAAACCACATTTGATGAACAAGAGAACACGGTTAGGGCTAAGATTTTGACGTTTCAAGGGCCTAGTTTACCAGGCCAGGCTTGTTTCTGCATTTTTACTTCGACCAGGACACTTTCGACTGAGAAATAGTTATTTTCAGCGTAAAATATACACGAACTCTGGGAAACCGACAAGCGATAACAAGCTTCGTCATTTTCGCGCCAAACTCGGTGCTTTTGCTTACGCCATCTGACGAAGCTCGTTGTTGGTGGGCTTTTGAGTACAAAATCAACCAACAAACTCGCACTCAAAAGCTCGACGACTATACGAGTTTTGGCTGATGGCGTAAGCAAACAACACGCGAGAATGACGAGACTTGCATGTACTCGTATAGTCGTACTCGTAGTCACGGCTAAAGTTATCTATTAAGGTGATATCAGAAGGTGATATACCCGCGGTGAGCCTTTTAGTCACAATGGAATCGGAAGGTGAATGCGAAACTCATCGCCTCGCAAGTCTGCTCGGGCTTGGAGTCGTCGTAAACGGCAACCATCCTGTGTCAAATATGGAGATCAGTAATGCTGATGTTATAAAGAAGGAAACGCAAGCTGGAGTGAGCGAGGAAATATTGTTGACCACGCTGGAAAGTAAATCCAAAAAAAGTGGAAGATGAAAGAGCAAGCAGAGCTGCAAAATATCTCTAATGAATGCTGATGAATGTGTTGACAATTCGCAAGCAGGCGTGAATACGGGTTTAAATGGGGTCCTGGCGACAGGCTGTGCGGGCTGATGATGTTAAGGTGGCTGGTATCATTGCATTTGCGATCCACTGCCACTTCAAGCAGGATGGTTTGATGTCTACATCACCGAAGTCAGAGACGCCGATCATTTCACGGTAGGTTGAGTTTGTTGTTTCGTTGTAAGGAAGCGAAGGTGATGACAATGGATCCATCATTAGAATGTGCTGATGACTGTAAGAGCAGGTTCTGGAGTCGTTTCAGTAAATCACCTTTCTCATTACTTAGTTTCAACTTTTGGAGAGCAATTCAGAGATTACCAAATTGGGGGAAGAGTTACAGGAGTTTTACCAGGTATTAACGAAACTGATTCGACGATGCAACAGGCGGGAATTTCGTTTTAGACCAATCAGCAAGTTTGTTTACATTTTCAGTAAGCTAATCAGAATGCATAAATTTTTATAAAAAGTACAATTTATAAAAAGTACATTTTACATGAAGTAGTAAAAATTTATGAATTCTGATTGCCTTTGCCTAAAAAATGTAAACAAATATGGCGATTAGTTTAAAACGAAATTCCTCCTTGTTATTCGATCCAACAGTTTTTCTAGACGAGTTACGCCCAACCTGACTTTTTTACTTTCTAAACTGACTTTATACGTACTGGATTGCTCAGTTTAGTTTAAACTTTGACTGTAGAATCAAGTTGAAACTGAAGTGACGTTGGTCGAGGGAGACGTGGTTGCTCTTTTCTATGAAGCCGACGAATATTGGTACCGTGGTTTAGTTGAGACTGTAATCAATGAGGAAAAAGTGAGTAATTTTTTCGTGCGTCAAAAATCAGTCAGAGAAACAAATTTTGTTTAACTTAGATTTTGCGTTTCACAGGCGTACATTCGGTTCCTGGATTATGGTGGAAACGCTACCGTTAACAGGGAGGACGTACGCGTTTTGGATGAAAAATTTCTGAAGTTGCCTTTCCAAGGGGTTTCAGCAAAATTAGCTGGTAAGTTGCAAAAACAATTGTTTTATTGGAGTTGGGAACAGTTAAAATTTTAAGATGACAATGAACGTTTCGTTTTAGGAGTAAAGTGTACAAAGAAAAAGTGGTCTAGGGAGTCTATTAAGAATCTTAGATTCCTAATGTTGGATCGATCTCTAGTAGCGAGAGCCGCCAATGGTCTTGCTAACTACAATCTCGACCCCTCATCTACTGTTGAATTGGAACTTTGCGATACAGAAGACCCCAAACAGGACGTCTTTATTGCAGAGAAGTTTATTGCAAGTAATTCTGACGTCGTTTCATCGTTATCTCCAGCAATCTGAGGCTCTATGTGCGATTTATTAATAATTTGAAATACTTCATATTAATCGTATGTCGTCCGTCGTCTTGTGGTTCAAGAATGAGAATTTTCAGTAGGAGTGGAGACAGTCACCAATTACAGGGAATTGGAAAACGTTTAAATTGGAAATCCAGAGTTTTAATGCAAGGCGGAAGATATTGGAATGTTTAAAGGATATTGTAAAGACATAATTTGCTTGCCGTTACAGAAGGCGATGAAGAGTTTCTGCGGCCGGAGCTTTAAAAATTGAAGTATATAACACAATGGATGTTTTTATTGTATCTCAGTGGGAGGTGTCGCTTCAGTCACCAGAGTTTGAAAATGTTTGTTCTTTTGGCAAAAGGACAACGGTCTGGAGAGCAATATTTTCGAACAACCAAATTTGTGAGCGGGAACAATGTTTCAGACCGGTTTTACCAAAGTGATATCGCTTTATGTTTCGTACCAAGGCAGGTTTAAGGGCGAAGAATTTTTATAAACTTTTCAGATATCACGACAGAGCTACATGCCAATAATCTTTGTTCTTGTTCTCAACTGGTTCAAGGTGAAATTCATCGTTTGGATGCTATTCTTCAGTTGTAAATGCTTCACCTTTAGCTGAGATGGAGTCCGGTTAATGGCGGTGCAACTAAACTGAATGGCTAAATTATCTGAATCTTCCACTCCCCTGTCTGCACTAAGCCGGGGATGATTAATAATGTTGACGCCAGGAAAACTTTGGGGGCGGAAGTAAATTCTGAAGAAAAAAAACTATGAGATTGATGTTACCTCCATGAATGATGATTGGAGATGCCTGGTTGAGATTTTTCTAATAGAAAAAATGCGCAGATTGGACGCTTATAAACCTTATGGCTTGATTTTTAATAGTGTTAGTTAACTCTTGGCAATGATGCGAAGCTCGTTTTGAAGGGAACAAGTTAGTTGCACACGAAAGTAATGGACAACGAGAGGTCATTTAGGAGTTTCTTGAAAACGGATTAAAACGGTTTGATGACAATGATGTGCTTTGGGATAAAATGATGTCCAAAGCTTTGGGATGAAATGCTGCAACTATACCTGTTTTCAAAACAGATAATCGCGCACTTGGACGCTTAGCTGGCATGCATAATATTCGTGAATGAAGTAGATATATTATGTATTGAAATTGAAGGTCTTTACCAATCCCTGTTGGTGACACAAATTTGTTGTAATTTGAATGAAGCTCACACCTATGGCTGTAGATATGCCAAGCAAGCTCGCTCGCAATGAAACCGGACATTATGGCAGAATTTAATGAAGGAATTAATAATCTTCGTTGGGTTTTAGACAAATTTAGTTGATTTGGAAGACGATAGACCTGATTTGACTCGTCGTGACTGTGGAATATGTTATATGAAAGATACCAATTTTCGCCGTTGTAAAATGGAACTATTTGGTCTTTGAAACAATTCGTATTCGCCGTGGTGGAAGACGATACGAAAGAAGAAACTTGGATTTCACATTTAAACAGTTTTGTTTCAGAAGTTTTTAGACTATGGCTGCTTTAGGAGAAACTAATAATTTTTGTCCAAAAGGTAGACTTATAAAGCCGCCATTCTAAAACTTTTACGAATTACCCATGTCGTATAAGTGGAGTACTTTTCGTATGTAGAAAAACCCTGCTATTTTCAAAAAACATCATAGATATGAAGGACAGGATTGTAGTGTGGGCTAAGAATTTTAGACACACGCTACTTTTTCATCTCGTTATAAAATGAAAATTGAAAAACTTGAAAATTGAAAGACTATTTTGATGTATTTTTCTAATGTCAATCAGTTTATTAAACTGTAAGAGAAATGACCATAGAGTATCCTCGTTATGTCTCAATGTTTGAAGGAAAGATCATCTATCTAAAATAACTATTGCCAGTGAGTATCAAGCTTTTGTTTTCATTGTGGGTAATGCGTTGTGTGTGCCAGTAAAGGGTCGTTTCGTGTTTGTTTAGTGATTTTACCTAATTACACTTTTGATATTTCGTTTAACTAAAGTGCACAATGTGCATAAACAAATTCATTTGAAATAGTGTACCAAGCTTACAATATGTATAGGTTATTTTGTGGCCATGAACACAAAAGAAGACCCTGGGAACGAGGAGTTCAAAGGATTGAACTAAAACTACTTTTGATGTATGATTTTATATAATTCTCAGTCAGACCCAGGTTCCTCGACTTTACAATAAAATGGCAAATATTTGAAACTTAGGTTTTTCACATAAAAAAATGAACGCATTTACGGATGCAACAAGTAATAAGCTTTCCCATGGCCTGTATGCTTAGCAATTTCAGCTAAAAAATAAGCGAAATAACGAAACAGCTTTTCACTCGACTTATTGAAAAAAAATTCATTGTAATTTCCCGCAAAGTATGCAAATTAATTCTGAATTTTTAATTTTGTTAGAGAACCGCTGCATGAAGCCACCCGAGGCTCGTAAACAATATGTCGAACTTTTTTGAAGTTTATTGATGGAAAGTTCGATACTTCTGTTCGCTGGAAGAGAAAGACTGCTTTCATAATCAAGCTTTATCTAAGTGTGGCTGAAAGATATAGGTCAGGATGAGTGAGGTACGTGTTTTAAAAGAAATCGGAGTGTTGTAACTACATTTATATCACAATTGATCGTGACAGATTTTTTATATTTGTCATGTTCTCAAAGGTATATGTCTAGGGTGTGTTGGGCCAGTTTCGGTGTCCTCCTCTTACTGATTTTGAGACTTATGCTTTTATTGTTTGCATTGGTTTGACAAACACTCAAAATCGCTACTGTTTAAGGATCTGATCGCTGATGTGAACGTAATCACCGGGATAGAAATTATAAAATGTAGTTTTGTTTTACTGTTTAAGTATACATTATTACATTAAGTAACAGAACGGCTGTACGCAAAGTGCCAGATCTGAGATCATCGTGTCTTAGTGAATAAGCATAGATTCTCAAACCGTCGTTCTCCTGACTCCTGGACAATTTTACCCCTCCTTGAAAAACGGTTGGCATTTGGTTGCCAGTTATATTGATAGTATTATAAACAAATTTATCTAACAGTTTCTCTTGGTAATCTCAGTGAAATGCCAGATGCTTTACTTGTGAGCTGTTAAGTTCTGGCATATAACAAAGCAAAAGCCGGGGGTTGTATAACTTGTATTGGCTGCACAAGGCACTTACTATCCTTAATGATTTAGTATTAAGCACGTGAGGGGTGTGGACGTTGGGAATTATGATTAGAATGAATCAAAATCTGTTATACTAAAATGTTTCCACAGAATATCAAGGATCAGGTGCTTGCAGTGAAAGCAGAGGGGAACGACCATTTTAAGAAGATGGATTATTCAAAAGCCATAAGTAGTTATGAAAATGCATTGAATCTATGCAAAGGAAACAGTGAACTAAAGGAAGAACATGGAACAATATTGAAGAACAAAGCTGCATGCTTTCTTAAAATGGTGAGATCATGAGTTCATGTCTTGAAATAGTCTGATAAAAAATTTTTTATTCACAGCTGAATGCATACAATTAGGAATTTCAGATTAGTTTTCTTGCAGTATTCTATTTTTGTGAACTTTCTGAAGTGTAACATTATTGATCAAAGGAATAGCTATCACACTTTTATATATATTGAAAATATGTTTTTATGTAGGGTAACTATACCAAAGCACTAAAAGACTGTGATGAAGGTATGTTTCAAATTGTACCTATTTTTCACTCCAACCTTCAGTCTGATTGAAATCTGTCTATCATTACCTCAGTTAAGCTAACCACAGGGACCTTTTAAGATACACCAAGTCTACGACACGGATGTAACATATGAAATCAACAGGGGTTGTTAGGAACCCAGTTTTAGTTTTATATATGGTACAGCTCTGACCTTGTTTACCAAAAGGAGTCTATGATTTTTATTCCTGGTTTGAAACAGTTGAAATGAAGACAATATTACTTCACATCCGCGTCGTAGATTTGGTGTATCTTAAGGTCCTTTATATATTTGCACAACCACCTCTAGGCACTAACTATATATTATATAGTTTAAGAACCTTAAAGCTTGCAATTGTAAAGACTAAACCAATCTGGAACAGTTGTGGAATTTCAATAATTTCTTTTCTTGTATTTTATGAATTTTTTGTCTTATTGGTCACTGTGGTTAAATCGACCTTTCTCAATCTTCAGATCGACCCCTTTTTTTTCTTTAAGCACTGCAATATTTACCAAAAGATCCAAAGGCATTGTTCCGTAAATGTCAAGCTCTTGAAAAACTGGAGCGTTTAGAAGAAGCATATAAAACTGCCAGGATATTGGTCCAGATTGTGCCAAAGGTATGAAGGAATTACATCTTCTGTTTTTAAAATATTGGATTGTTTTTTAAAGAGTTATATGACGTTTTTTCCTCTTTTCAAAACCCAAGGATCCAGCTGTCCAGCAATTTTTAAGGAACTTGACCCAACAAGTGCAGCAAAAGGTATCGATCAGGTTTTTTTGGCCCGTGTTTTCAAGACGTTCATTCACTCGAGTTTCGGTGAATTACTAGACGTTCTCGGTCTTAAATTTCGTGTTTTTTTGCCCTGAATAAAATTTAATTCATTCATATCTACAGCGTGTAGAAATATGTCACCATGATATAATGAAACATGCATTTTGAAATTTTCAGACCGAAAAACAAAATACAACAGACGGCATGGTTGAGACGATGTTTTCGGCTATCTTCGATGAAAATGAACCTGATGATCGCAAAGTCCAGGTATCGAAAAAGATTTACGAGCGTGAAACTTGCTTTTACTTTGTTTCACAAGCCTTGGGTCAACTTTGAACACTTCCCTTTGTATCACAGGCGATGAAAAACCTTATCGTTTTGGCAAACAAAGATTCTGGTGCAGATATAATATGTAATGCAGGTAGGAAAGTAGATGGTTAAAACTATTGAAACGAGCTGAAGAACCTTTGATTGGTTTTATTCAGAGAAGAACGTCGCTCGCAGCCCTCTGACTGATTTAGCGGGTAAGCTGGGCTTTCTTCTTTATCTTTGAATATATCTTATTGATTAGCTTTTGTATTTTCAGGTGGAATCAGCAAGTTATCCAAAGTTTTGGAAGTCGGAAACGAGGAATTAAGACACTTGGCAATCAAAGTTGTTGGGGTTCTTTGCAAAGGAAGTGCTTTACGGGTGAGACTGAATTGTCAGTTTCGCGATGAAACGTTGACACAACGAAATATATTGATGTACCGAAATTAAAATAAGAAAACGGCCAAGAACTATTCGAATCGAGAAATACATGAAATCCTTTTATTTTTTCGATAGGCTGCAAGAGTTTTTGAAAGTTTGAAGGGAAGACTTTCTCCATGTATAAAATCGGTATGCACTTGTTGTTTTCCGAGTAAAGTGACTAGTTCGTTCACTCCTGTAGTTTTGCTCGGTGAAGAACTAATAATTTTTTGAGAAAATATTCTTTTTGGCACAATTTTAATTACACACAGGTCTGGGTCAAAAAACCTAAAGCTTAATTGCAATAATAATATTTGTTTCACCAGAAATCTGCAGAGGTCTGCGACAGTGCCGTGAGCCTTATCAGTCAATTCATTCAAGCCACCGTCAGACAGCCCACCGCGAAAGAAAAGCAAAAAGACGAACAACCTCCTCTAGGTAAACGACTTAGCAATACCTTTATTTATATCTTCATATATACCTTTACATAATATCGATTATGGCGTAAATTTGTTGAGTTCCTCAAAGCTCATTTCTATGTGCGATTTCGTCTTTTGATACATGTGAACGAGTGGATTAGTTACGCACGTTCGAATAAGGACACTTATACATTAGAGTATTCATAACTATTCACTCGTTGTCATCGGTCTAAAGTAGAAAATCGCAACAAAAATATATTTTAACTTGTTTTAACGTACTATTTTTTAAATCTGTATTATAGTTTACAAAGATGAATTCAAATACGCCTGTTCGGTGCTGTTGGATAATTTGGTTGATCCTGAGTAAGGGAGTTAAGATGGCTTGTATTATATCTCAGCTGATATTGTTCGTATCTCATGATGATGTTTGTGTTAAAATGTCTGTTTCAGTGTGAATGCTCGGAATCGAAACGCCATTATCGAGTGTGTGATTACAGCAGTACCTGGAAACAAGCACATGGTCCAGTTATTTGTCGAACTAGAAGGTCAGAGAAATCATTTGTACACCACAGTCCAGCGACCGTTGTCATTTTGCCGCCAAATGAAACGATAACTGTAGAAGTAGCTACGACATTTTCCTGCACAAGTACACGTAGTTCTTTTGGGATTTTTGCTTAAATTAGTGGAATACTTGATCCTAAACCTGCAAATGATAAGTTTCCCTCTAATTCGCACGCAGAAAAGCGCTCAGTGTTGAGTATTTTAGTTGAAGTCTGGACAGAAAAAAAATAGACATCACGTCTATTCTTAAAAGCACTACATCGTACGCCGTGAAACACTAGCTGAAAGTGTTATGAAGAACGAGTTCTGTAAAATTACATATTTTTTAGGCGTTCGAAGGTTACTCCAGGTCGCAGCAATGGCGGCCTGTGTTTGGTCAAACACGAACTCCGCGATACCAGTTGACAAATCAACGAGGATGGATGTTTCTGTTGCATTATCGAAACTCTACGACAGTTTA